GTGTGTGTTGGAGTTAAACATTTGTGTGAATGAGGGACAAGTATATATACAGACGTGACGGAGAGGAAAGTCTTTGACAATTTCGATTTTCCTCTCTCTCTTTTTTTTATTTTAAAAGTTTACTTAGAGAGAAGAAGTTTGTGTAAAGAATAGGGAAGATTCGATTATGGAAAAATACGTTGTCATTGACCTGCAATTGGATGAATAGATAAGAGTGTTGCCTATATTTATTTTGTTTTTTATTCCGAAAATTTCTCGGTGGTTCATCTATAGGATGGCAGCTTCTGTAAAACGTTAATTATCGATTTTTATGCGTTATGTTGTTTAGAATTTAGTCATGTAAATTAGTACACTTTCATATTAATGGATGAATTAAATGTATTTGTCTAGAGTCCTTGGCAATTACAACACTACCACAATATAGAAAATTTCTTGCTTGTTACCACAACCTATTTTATTTGATATTTTTTGTATAACACTCACTAAAAAAACCTATAAATCAGTGAAATACGTTTTCTATTTTCTTTTATTGTCAGTTATATTAGAAATAAAAATTTACATGACAAAAACTAATTAATAGAATAAGCAAAGAGTCCTCAATAGTATTAGACAATTCACCCGCATGATATGTGTGTTATAATATCATTTTACATTTTGAATCGTTTTAATAGATTTAAAGTTGTTGACAAAAAAAGGAGACACCAATACTATAGTTTTAAATTATACACAACAAGAAAACAGCCGGATTTCCGACGGAAATTTCGACGGGCGAGAATTCCGTCGGAGTTTTCCGACGGTTTACCGACGAAATTGCGACCAAATGTAAACCGTCGGAAATCCGTCGGTTAATTCCGACGGATATAAACTGTCGTAATATTCTGACGATTTTCCGACGGAAATCCGATATTTCTGATGTCGGCAAAGTTTGATTGGGCAACGCATACCGACGAAACTTATTCCGTCGGAATTCCGTCGGAAATTCGATGTCGGCAAATTTGAGTGGTTACCATTTCGTTAGCGGTGGCCGAT